ATTGTTTCCGCTCATCTGTTATTAGAATAGAATACAGTTTTTATCAATAGAAACAAGAAATTTACAACACTGGATATTTTATATCTCTGATAGCGTTAAAAGAAAAATCCTTCGACTTATTAGTTATCTGACCTAAACTTATTTAATTCAAGTTTTCTGTTTTCTAAATAATAATTTCATTAACAAAGTCTGCCAAAACTTTTAATTTAATAAGTTATTACTTCAGAAGTTCCATATTCCCTTACAAAATATGCTACTCCAGGATTTTGATTGTTGGTTCCATTTTGCTCTGGATTTTGTTCTGATTGAGTTGCCAATGCGTGACGCCGATAATAAAAGATAAAAGCGATACATATCGGAAGAATTATCCCACTAACAATTCCGAGTGAAATAGATGTACCTATCAATGCACTATCACTCCTGGCATATTCAGTATAGGTATAGTAGTTATAGCGTGTAGTAGTCGCAGTGGTAGTCGCAGTGCGGAAACTTGTATAGGTGTAGTAGGAATAATATGTAGTAGTCATAGTACGGAAATTGCAAGATGGAGGATATGGAATAGAACATGAACTTAAGCAAGGATCGCAAGTAGGGGAAACACATTGAGCTAAGCACAACCTTATATTTGACAAATAGGTAATATTAAATAAGAAAGAATTTAAAATTTTAAATATTTAATTAATTTTAAAATTTATATTATTAATGAATACTTGAATTTTTGAAAAATTTCTAAGTATTTTAAATAGATCTTTGCAATTGCATTTCTAACATACCTTATATTTAATAAGTATAAATGAAATATTATTAAAAGTTTTATTAAATATTTAACAAATATTACATCTTTCATGATGAACGTATGTTATTATTTAATTGTTATATATATACTGTTATATTTCAATAAATTTCTTGTTTTTTCATTAGTGATTCGGTGTTAAAAAACTTAGGATGATGAATGAAGTTTTTCGACATGATAGAAAACTTTGACTTTTAATAGTTATTTTTTTTTGATGAGTCTCATAGTTGTTTTTGTTTTGATAATTTTTTGTACTGGTCGCACATATACGTACATATGTACCATGTCCAATAGTAATAGGAGGCGTTGTACCATTGTGCGTATGGTATTTAAGAACATTCGCACTATGGCAATGTTGGTAAATGACTAGATCATTTTGGTTTTTCTTAAATGACCTTGATCATTATGCACATGACCTATAGTTATCAGTCACTATGGTCACATTAGATTGTAACGTTTTACAAGTAAAACAAGTTATGTGCCTGTCGAGTTTATTAATTTGGAGTTGTCATTTTAAAGTATTTACTATTTAGTCAAGCTTGTGATAGGTTATAGTATTTACATCTGATGTTGATTCTGTTTGGTATGAGGCTTTAAACTTTTTGTGATGTTTTGTTTTTTGAATGTTTGGTTAAAATTTTGATTATCGAGTTTCCAAGTTTCCTTGTATAAATGTATAGGAAGAATAAA